CCCGCCGCACCGGGCCTCGCACACCTGCACGGCACCCCAAACACAGATGTGCCGGGAGCACCCAAAACACCCCACACGCAGAATGAGGGTGCCAGCGGCAAGTGCAGGGGAACCGTGGCTCCCCTGGGCTGGAGCGGCCCAGAGAGCCCCCCCTCCCTCTCAGAATCACCACAGAATCTTCTAGGTTGGAAGGGACCTTAAAGATCATCTTGTCCAACCATCAACCTGACTGACAAAAACAGACACCCACATAACAAACAAGAAGCATCACCATCACTAAACCAGACCTCCCAGCACTACATCAACCAAAATTTTTCCTAATATCCAGCCTGAACCTCCCCTGGTGTAACTTGAAGTTACTTCCTCTCGTCCTGTCGCCTGTGACTTGGGAGAAGAGACCGACCCCCACCTCTCCACACCCTCCTTTCAGGGAGTTGGAGAGAGCAAGAAGGTCTCCCCTCAGCCTCCTCTTCTCCAGGCTGAACAACCCCAGCTCCCTCAGCCTCTCCTCATAAGACTTGTGCTCCAGACCCCTCACCAGCTTTGTTGCCCTTCTCTGGACCCGCTCCAGCACCTCCATGTCTTTTTTATGGTAGGGGGCCCAAAACTGGACACAGTACTTGAGGTGGGGCCTCACCAGTGCCCAGTACAGGGGGACAATCACCTCTCGGGTCCTACTCGCCACACTGTTCCTGATACAGGCCAAGATGCTGTTGGCTTTCTTGGCCATCTGGGCAGACAAGCCCCTGCAAAGACCCTGTATATCCTGTCACAGCCCAGGTATACACAACCTACTCCCACCTTGCTCGTGTTTCTTCAAAAATACAGCATCACAATTTTTACCAATTACACCCCACTGCAGCGCCTCAAGTCCCTGGCTGTAGGTTGCACCAGAACCCACAACATCACACCACCATCCCTGGCCCCATCCCACCTCCTCTCACAGCTGTCCTTCCTTTGGCAGGTAAAAGCTGTCTATCCATTAATTCACTGAAATTATAATTTCCTACATGTTGTCTGACCTTTCACAGCAAGGGAAAGCGGCCAGTGTTCTTTTTCTACCCCTCCCTCCCACCCCCTTTTTGCTGCCTTTTCTCTTTTGTTTTGTTCTGTGAGAAATGCCAAGCTATTTCTAGACAACAAGGGTGGTTTATACACATTAGTAAATCTTCAGAGCAAAGCTTTCCTCTCAGTCTTTCTCTTTGTTTCGTTAATGGTAGCTATAAATTACCACTTCCCTGTCTCACTGGAGCATCAGGCTTCATTGCTTTTGAAATGATCAAAGTTATTCTCTTCTAAAATCCAATGAGAAAGAACCTATTGTATCTTCTGGACGGTTTCAGTCTTAGTCCAACTCATCTATAAATGCATAAAGCTGCCCATTAAACACTCCAAGGATTCTCCAGCCCTGCACCATACCCCCCCAGCCTCATCTTCCCAACAGAAAGTAATAAATGAATTAAGACTTTCTCAACAGTTTCCATGATCTTGTGAATAAACAGTCATACCTACGATGGGGATTGGCCCCATCTCATCTGCAGATACCAGTCAAGGAGTCTCTACAAACAATTCTCCCAAATGCACGTGACTACAAGCTACCTGACAGAATAGGTGTTACATACTTCAGGCCATTTCTCAACAGGTTCCTCAATGACCGTGACCAATATTAACTTAAAATTCATCACAAGGTTTGACAAAAGACATAAAATCTACATGTGATGAGTGCAGCAGAAAAAACAGTAAGAGACACGGAAAAGCCATATTCCCAAACCAAAGCTTTCTGGGACCCAGTA